TTAAATGCTTTCTAGCCTCTGGAAGGATTTTAAGGGTATTTTTCAGCATCTGAACTGCTAGTTCACTCCTTTTTCCTTGTTATTAATACTATGTATTTCTAGGTGCATTAAATTGTATTAAATTGCTCCATTTCCACAAATTGAGTTTCACTATCAGCATGCTTACCTTGGTGTAGTTACTGTCACGTAATATCTGAACTAAAATAATAAAAATACATTAAACTCCATACCTGGTTTCAAGGTGTAGTGAGAGCTCTCCGGGGCAAGATGAGCTGCACTTGCAGAGGGACCTCGACACTGTCCTCTCCTGCAGGACATGGTCCCACAAAGCCCAAGGGGGAAAATTTTGGCCATCCTGGAGAAGACAAGCCATGAGCCAGGTCCATGGTAACCTAGGAAGAGCAAAAAGAACACAAGGCTGGAGACAGAGCAACTGCATAGGCCCAAAACCACCTGAGAGGGGTGAAGCCAGGCCAGCAGACCAGCTACAGTCTCAGGTTAAGTCTTATGGCCACAAACAGGGGATTTCACAGCTCCAAGCCAATTTTGCTCAGCTGCCAAAACCCACCCAGAATGGCCACCTGAGTGGCAATTAAATGGGCCCACCCCACCACCAAAGCCTTCCTTTAATTGCCTTCCTGGGCCATGGGTAATGAGCTGGGCTGCAGCAGCTGCAGAGGATGATGCTGCATGAGAATAATGTGCAAAAATGCATTAAAAATGCAGTGAATTATACCAAATTACTTTGAAATACTCATTTTTTAAAATACATTGGAAATTTTGGTAGCTTTTTATTTATTTATTCATTTTGCAATGGATTCACTGCCTCTAAAAAGCATCTGCACTAGCTCTTGCAAAAGCCTTTTTTTCTTTAATTAAAGGCCACCCCAGAAGCCAAGCAATATTTATTCTTTTTTGTCAGGAGGAAGATTTCCAGATATTAACCTGCATGGGATAAACACTAACTTCCTCACTGCCGGGATCCTGGCCCAGAGGCTGGCAGGGCGCAGGGAGCCCTTTTTAGGGGATGAACTTGCTGAAAACCTCAGCTCTGCGCTTCCCCCCATCCGCATAGGGGCAGCACAGAAACGGGCTGGAAACGACGGTTTGGGGTGAAAAACGCGCACCAGGGTTGCCGCTCCGCAGCACCTCCCCTCGCCGCGTCCTTACAGCACTCCCCCAAAGCGGAGCAGGACATGTTTCCCCTTGTTTTCCCCCCAAAATCGCGGGTAGCAGGGCGGCCCCGCAATGGCGGCTCCCCTCAGGGCCGCGCGCGCTCCCTACCTGTCAGACCTCGCCCCGGGATCAGGCGGGCGGTGGTGGATCTGCCCCGTGGAAGGGCTCGTGTTCGCCTGGGCCATGGCTGCACTGTGTGAGACCTGAGAGGCGTTGCCTTCCTTTGCGATTTTTAGTGTTCCCCTCCCCTCCCTTTTTTAACCTTTTTTTTAAGGTAAGTGCTTTTAACTACTGAGAATGTGTGGGGATATATTTAGAGAGTGGTGAGAGACAAGAATAAGATGGAATGGGTAATATTGGGAAGTATTGGACTATCAGTTACTCCTTTAGCATAGTTCTATTTGTTTTTTTTTTAAATCAGGAATAATTAAATTATGAATGCTGAGCATGAATGTTAAGCTGTACTAGATGCTAATAAAAAAACTTACAAAGGTGTATATCTGACATCTGTTTTCTGTTATCTTTTAAACATTATCTATTAAATCACTATTTCTTGTCATTCCCCAATCTTGAAGCTGCCGAAACCAGTGGATGCTGGTGGCAGTTTGGCCATGGAGACCCGGAGAATTTGAGGCAAATTTTCAAAGTTCCAGGCAATATGTTTTGCTTCCTCATCAGCCCCATGGGGTTGCTCTGAATGCCATGAATTTCAGCTTAAAATCATTAACTATTTCTGCTTGGACATCCTCACTCTGGAAGAGTGGATTAAAATAAGGAAAAGAGTGTCCAAACTGGAGACTCAAGCTATTGCTTTCTTATTTCTTAATGTCTTATGCCAGAGCAGTTTTATTTCTAGTTAGCCAAATGGTAAAACCTTTTAGAAAGGCACGAAGTGACAAGTTAACAACTCTGTGAAAATAAGGTGTTTAGTATAGCATTTCCACGTGGCTGTAAGTGATATTTGGATAGTAATCTAAAGAAGTTACCTCAGAAAAAAAAATGAGCATTTAACAGAAATATGAGGTCACAGGCAAGATATTATGTGAACAAGCCACATTTTCCTTTCTCATGATTGGCAGCTTAAATACTATAGGAAGAAACGAAATGTCTCCTTCCTTATCCTGTTGTCAGATGCGGAACATTTCATGCAAAAAAAAATTTTAATAAATAATTTTTTTATATGTATTGAGAAAAATTCAAAACTCAGCACAAGTCAGTGCTTGTATAATGGGGAGGGAGAGCCATCCATTCGGGTTTGAGCTCAAGTCCCAGTAATTTTTTGAGCTGGAGAAAAGAGTTAATGAATTATTTCATCATGCTAAGATGTAGTTTATTCGGTGAGGGGTGTATTCTGATAGAGAAGACCCAGTTCAGGTTTGAAAGTAGCTGCAGATCAAAACAATGCTGAAAAAAAATGGTCTTGCCCTTTGTGTTGCCAGCAATGGCAGGAGGTGTTTGGCTGTTGCTACAGGAGGTTTAGCCAAAGGCATCCAGACATTCAAGTCACTGACAGAATTGGTGTTTTTGGTGGTAGGGCTCTTACTGGAACAGAGCATTTTGCTGCTCTGGTAGCTGGGACTTTGAGAAAAATAGCACTTACTGTAAGATCAGCAAAACAATCCCAGGAGCTTGCAACACAAGTCGCTGTGCTCCGTGAATGCTAAGGGAAAGCAGCACAGGAATATCCACATGCTTCCACTGTGTTTGGTGGCAGGAGGCCAAAGCTCATGTCCTCCGTCATCTGGGAAGTGCAAGTGGCCTGCCTGATCCACAGCACTTTTTAAACTGGTTTTCTGGAATAGCTGCAGGGTTTTGGAGCCGTGTATAGGCGAAGATCCAGGTGCTGGAGCCTGAATTGTCGTGTTCAGTCTTGTTCACGCGTAGCTGCTTCATCTTACCAGAGAGCTTCTGCATGTACAAGTCCAGCTGCAGTAGCTTTAAATACCATATTCAGTTTATTTTATTTTTATGTCTAATACGTTTCATGCATCTTAAGATGGATGTTTTGCAATGAAGAATGTGCCAGTTCAGATGCTGTGTTATCTAAAGCCTTACAAGATTTTTTTGTTGCAGTATTTTGCATGGCTAAAAGGTCTTGCCTAGAACTACCAAACAGCAGAAGTACTTTGATATATCTCTCTTTTTAGTGGGTCATACATCCATGTCCAAGTGCAGAGTACCAAAATGAGAAGGTTAACTTGAAATGTTCTGGGCTTTTTCCCTGCCCTTCTAAAATTATCTGTAAAGATGGCTACAAAATTTAATAACTTCCCCAATATAGGCTGAATATATCTAATTGGCTAGGATGAATACATGTTTTTTTTTAATTTATTTATTTATTTTTAATCGTTCATATTGTTAAGGTCCAATGATGACAAGCTTTTTGAGAGGCAGCCAGTTTCTGCAGGAAGCTTCTTCCAGCATTTAATGCTGCGGATAACTGAGGTTTCATAAAACAAAAAAGCAAAAAACTCCACACACTTCTAGATGGCTGGCAGAGTGAGCGCTGACTTTACTGAGTGATGCTCAATGTGTAAAATTTCATCTTTGTGAAATTTTATTAAATATTTGAAGGTTGTTCTGCAGAATGAGAGTAGCTCCCAAGTAGCGCATTGTGGAAGGAATGGATCACCAGCCCTTCTGGCTTCAAAGGCCAGAAAGGGATCTAGGCAATATTACTTTTTTTTTTTTTTTTTAGCAATATATTTGCTCTGGCTTTTTCCTCAGTAGCTAGTTGTTTTCAGACCCTTCTGCGTAAGGCATAACCAACTTTTGGAGGACATAGAATATCATAAGAGTGTATGAGAAAGCATCAACCAAATTAATCTCCATGGCCAACAGGAACTCTCAAGGAATAATCATAGATAATTAGGTATTTTTGTTTCAAAATTCGTATGTTTTATAGCTGTTAGCCTTCTAAGTAAATATTATAATTTCATGTAGCATGAATATATTTCATTAAGAATGCAAAATATCTAGAATAACTATAATTGGCTACAAAAGTATTGCTAAAGGTTATAAAAGAAACGTAAAAACCTATTTCAGAATTTAAGCCATCTTGTGCTGTTATGTCTCATTTTGGAGTTTTTCTTTCAGGGGGTTGAAATAGCCTACATTTGCTTTCTTCAAGTTTCTTCCTCTTTCCTCTGAGCATTAAATACTGGCAGCTGACACTGTATTGAGTCACTGGTTAGTCTGAGGAGCAGAGTAGATGCAAATAGACTTTTGACCTTTTCTGGAATTTGAGTCTCTAGTGACCTTTCCATAATATTCTCCTACAATTAGTTACACAGAAGTCAACATTATATTCATGTTTTATAAACTTGAGCAGAACTTTCAGAATCTGGGCTAGTAACATTACAGAAAATATTTGTACTTTATTGCAAAACTGTTGAACATTAGAATCAGTTTTGGTGTTCAGTGAAAGTAAATTACTTGATTTATTTTACCCTGTAGCAGGTTTCTAGAATCTCAGTGTAACTGTAATACTAAATTGGTACAAATCTGAAGTGTTGCATCTTTGTCGAGAGCAAATGAAAGAGATACATTGCGAAGTACTTTTTTTCTTTCAGAAAGCCTAACTTCTTTTTAGTAAGCAATAAATACAGACTTCTTATGGTTAGTGTCTTGTTCACACTGGCTATGTCTTTGACTTGTCAGGTCCATTTATGAGGTTGGAAGTAACTGTGATATGGAGCATCCGTCCGGATGCAGAGGTCTTTTGATGGAGGATATTCAGCGCTGGTAAACCGCTTTGTGAATTTGCATGGGGTAAAAAGGAAGGCAGAAATAAACTTCTGAAACTGAATCCCAGTCCAAGGATGATGGCTCTTCAGCTGTATACACATGCTTTCAATATCTCTCCAGTAGAGGAGAGGAGATTGTGTATAAATGGAACACCATGGATTTGGCATCTCCTTGAAGAATGTGTGGAGAATGCGTGGGAGTTTTGGAGCGTTGTCACAGGCCTGATTTCCATTGTCTGCTTTCTGTTTGCTGCACTACCGTAAGTTTAAAGTCTTAAGCAGTCTGCAGATTCAAACATGAGTAATCTTGCCTGAAGCCTTTTTCAAAAGCTGCCTTTTTTTAGTTTATCTTGGATATGTTTCTCTATCTGCATAATACAGATATAATATGCCAGAGAAGCATGTTGTTCATGTTTGGAACAATATTTGGTGGTTGACAAATGAGCTTGATGTACTATTCTGTTGTACTGACTTGACACTAATCTCTGCCACTTAGAGCAAATGAGAATAAATCACCTCTTCTTTCTTATCTCCCGCACCCGTGGATGTGTGTGCACACATAGGCATGCTGGCAGCGGGACTGGCCCCGCGTTTATTTGAACCACATGCTGTGTCACCACTGCTCTTGTGCTTGCCGCTGCCCGTGAAATTGGGGCTGAGAAAGGGCACTTTGGTGGTGCTAAATCAGTTTCTCTTCAGTGCGTGGGCACTGGGTTAAAATTCCAGATATGTGGGCAGGAAATGGCAGAAGAAAAGCAAAAATGCTCTCATCAGGTGAAAATGTCTGAAACAAAATGGGATTGACTCCAAATTGTGTCCACACAAGGTAGATATAGGGCTAAGGAAGCCAGACAAAAGAAAACCATTCTTACTAAGCTGTTCATCTTCTGAAATATTAGTTGAGAGGGAACTTTACATTAGAACTGCCATGTTAGTATGGAATTCATCAAGATGTATCTAATATACTTTCATTTGGATTTGCTTCCTAGACCACACTGGGAAACTGAATAACATTTTTCCAATTTAGAGGCATAAGTATAGTCGTCGACTCTTTTTAGGTGCTCTGATCCATCCTAGCCCCTCTGTGCTAAATAACAGTGTCATTACAGTATTTTGAAGGCTGGTAGTTACAGAACATAAATATAAAATGCTTATGGCATGGTTCTGATCTCCGGAAAATGGTATTTTAGTACAGGCCACAAAAAAGAGCACGCAGAAGCAGTGATGAGGGTTTGCTTTGAGCCGTTCATTAGGCTGGAGAAAGACATGATGAGCTAGAGTGATACTGATGTCTCCTTCAAGGTCACAGCTACAATAGGTCTCTGGGGGTTAGCCTGGGTCTTTATTTAGATCTCAAAAAATGCACTTGCTAAACCTTTTTTTGTTTACACCATTTTTAAATTACTTCTTCAATTTGTGCCAGTCAAATTTTTGTCGCCTGTCGCAGTGGAAGAGTGGATCAAGCGCTCTCCCTGGGCTTCCTGCTCTGTTGGCTAGCTGGAGATGTAACAAATTTTATAGGCTGCTATTTAACAAATCAACTGCCGATTCAGGTAATCTGCCAGTATTTCTACTTCTTGATTTAGCCTTCTCCAACTTTAGAATGTTTTTTTAAGTCAATTATATATTAACAAGGAAGTATTAATTCAAAGCTCTTTATCTCTAGAAAAGTGTATTTTTCTTCTCAAAGAGGAGAGTTTCTCTGAAAGAAACAAGTTGTCAGTGCTACATTAATTGCCTGAAATCTTATCTGCTTTTTTAATTTTTTACTTAAATTAAAGAGAAAGATACATTTATCAGCCACCTGCACAAGATTTCACAGGTTAGAGAGGGGACCAAGATTGGTTAGAGTTATCACCTAGTTTAAGATTTAATTTGTGGTTCTAACAGTTCCATCCCCCCTCAATGTGAAATGGAGAAAAAAGACAGCTTTGTCTTACTGAGGCAAGAGACACTGAGTAAGATCAGTAGCTTTTTAAGTGTTAGGAACCTAAGTGGAGCAGACCTGAGCTCCTGGACAAGAACAGATTTATCAGTCTGCCGAGGCAAGGATTTGTGCCATGTGTCTTTGAGAATTACAAAACTCTGCAGGTTTGTCAACAAGCTTTACATTGCATTAATCTGCAGCAGTCAAACTGGTTTGGGATCCTAAGCACTTTGCCTTTTTTTTTTTTTTTCCCAGTGGTTTGTTATTTGTCATTCACCTTTTGATTATGAAGCGAAATCTCCAGGCAGTTCAGTTCAGTAATGACTTTGGACTTCTTGTATAGTGAACAAGCAAATATATCTTCTCTTGTCTTTCAGATTGTCACTGCCATCTTTTATGTTAATATGGATATAATTATGATTTCGCAGTTTGTCTACTATAAGCTCAAGAATGAAAAGACAACAAAATGTAAGGTTTTAAAATGATTAAAATGTTCTCCCTAATGTGACATACATCTCACCTTGACGTTTGCCAGAGTTTTTAAATAAAGTTTTTTGGTGGGATTTAAAAAGAATGAGTACAAAAATTCCCTTTGAAGTTGTTAGGCTGATAACTTCCAATTTTTTTAGGCTCTTATGAAATTTGCCACACACATGAGGCTACTATCTGACCAAAAAGAAAAAAAAAAGCCCACATAAAATGGATGACTATTTTCCATGTAGTACTTTCAGTTTATATAGATATAAGAAATACAGTAGTTTTGTGGAATCTGCTTGTATATTTTAACTTATTTCATGGTTTTACTATCTGCTTTCGCTATCTAAATATACGTTCAAGTTGACAGCAAACATTATTTCTCTGTGTGGTTCAGTTAGTTCCTCAATGTTGATTGGAAACGGACTTTATTTGCTTATAGCATAAAATGTCTTGACATTTTCATGTGTTCTCTTTCAGTACGTATAGTTAAAAATGTATTCAAGAGGAATAAAATTACTTTATTTGCTTTATAAAATCCTGGCAATAGTTGTAGTGTTTGCCCTTCCAAGTGGTCTACTGTTCTGTTTGCTTTGTATCAAATCACAAATGTTAATTCATCAATCTTAAATAAGTATCGAAGAAAAGCCATGGTGCAGTAGAGGTAGCAGTGAGATGAAGTAAAACAGATGCACGTCCAGCAGACTAAATAGGAATAAAGCAGATTAATTCAATATGGAGCTGATAATAGAACAGGAGATAGGTCAGTGCCGAAGATCCTTCCTTGCTGCTCCCTGCTTGCAAACAAACACAGGCTTTTGTGCATTGGAACGGTGCCTGTTTGAGCTCAACCTGGCCTAGCTGAAGAAGGAAGAATAATGTGATTAATCCAGGAAAAGAGGGGTTTTGTATCCAGTTCCAGATCAGTTGCCATGGGCAAGCTTGTTGGGCGTGCGTCTCAAAACACAGCCTGTGAAACAGGAATTCCTGTTAGACTTCTTGGGGCAGCCTCACTAATGCCACACAGGAACAGTTTGTTCCGCTGGTACCAGTGTCTGTGGGTACTTAGCAATGGTTTGTAAACACAGAATTCATCATCTGTTGCTTTCAAGTTGCCATGCAAGTGTCTGTGAAGGCTTGATAGGTAGAATATCTCTCTTTGAATATATGAGTCCCTCAGACTCTAAAGACAAGACTCAGTATCTGGCTTACCATGGACTTAGACACTGGTCCAGTAGAACGCTTGAGCTAACAAAAATATCGCTCGGATAATTATATAATCCAGATTTTGAACATCCTTGCTTTTGTAGGGTTTAATCGAGATGTGTCGAAGGAAACAGTTGTGTTCCATCCCAATTTGCAGCTTTTTGTATATTGTCTGCAATTCAATAATAAATTAACGTCATACATGATGTTAATGATGTTTCATCTTCAGATTGAAGATGAAAATTGTCTCTCTCAGTAGCAAAGCCAATGTAGGAAGTTCCCCCCTTGTTCCTGTGCTGTTACCTTCAGTTCTTGCAATAAGTCACGGTACAACTGTGATAGTGATGGAGTGGACACAGGAAATGAGGAAGAGGAAGGCTCCTTAAACTTACATTGTTGTCAAAAAATGCAGGAAATCGTACCTTCTTATTTACATATTTATATTATAGACAAAAAGTAAACTAAATCAACATCAGATGTTACTTTTCAGCTAATTTAATTGTGTTTCCTTTTAGACAGCACAGCCCTGAAGCATTTCTGTATAAGCTGGAGTTTGGTGTGTGTAACACTGCATGTTATTCTACCCTGTCAGCTTTTATTGAGAAACCAAGACCAGAGTATAGACTTAGAAACAAGCAATGTAAGTTCTTACCTGTTACTTTCTGTTCCTTAAAAAAATCTCAAAAGTGTCTTGAAAGGATTGTGCATTAAGAGCTTAAAGAAATTCATTTGACTTTAAAATGCCTTAGAAATTACAAATATGGGAGTACATGGGAGTTTACAGTATGTGTTTACATCCCCAAACAAGAAAGTTATAACAAGCTTTTTCTAGGCAACTTCCTCTGTTCTGGGCTTACTTTGTCCCTTGGGTTATTAGGATATGCTGCGCTGTGAAATAACACACACAGATATGTTGTCTTTTTGCTTGTGTTAGATATTTTCTGCTTCTGTTTAGATACAAAACAGTCAGAAGTGAAATCAATAATAGTGGAAAATTACAATTGTACCCGCTGCTGCTGTCATTTCTAGAGGAAAGTTCACAGGATATTCTAGCAATTTTCTGGCCTTCATACTAATGCCAGTAAAATAATTGTAATCCAACAGCATTGCCCAGCAGGGAAGCAGCCTATTTTCAAAACACAGCAAGAGTGAGAAAACTTACAACTCTCTTGAATTGTGAAAAATGAGCATTTTGCTTTCTCCAGACAAGATGATTCAGTTTTTGTGGCCCTAGCTGCAGTTTGTAGTTTGGGCTTGAATTGAAAAGTGTCCATCTCCCCGCAACCCCCTCTTTTTTTTTTACTGTAGAACTGAATTGGTTTTAATAACATATCCTAAAGGTAGGACCAGTTTTGAGCTAAATCATGGCTATAATGCATCTGTATACATCCTTGCAAGGTAAAGATTAACCCTTTCTAGTCCTCTCTGGTCATTTGATGAGTACTGAATGGCTTTGAAAGGAAGAATTTCTTTTTGTCCAGAGAAGTAGCTCAATTAAACCTTTGAAACGCCCCAAAATATTCCTGTGAAAATATATTTACTTTTATTTTTCAGAGAAGTCTTGATATGATGGAAGTGTCAGGCTACGTTTGTGGCTATCTCTCTTGTGTGTTTTACTTGGGAAGTAGATTTCCTCAGCTGTACAAAAATGTAAGTAAGCTTTTGCCTAAGTACATCTGTATATTGTACAAAAACACTCTGTTGCTTGAGATGCCGCCTACCTTGCCTTTATAACCATTTAAAATGGCAACTTTGCCCACTCAAAAGAGATTGGTTTAAAAACAAAACAAAACAAAAGAGTGTCTTTGATGACCTGGGCCAGAGAGGAGGAAGTGAAGTATTTACAGTTGAATTTATCAGATATGAGCAGAAACATGCTTTGCATGATAGTTTTCATAAAGAAATGATATCTTCTCCTTTTTTTTCACCTGACTGTTTTACCTTAAGGAACCAAGTACAAGTTCAAAAGACAAAAATAGAGCAAAATTAATTTAAAGCGTTACAAGCCCTTCCACAGTGGTGTCATTACTGTTTTTCCGTTTTGGTTTGATTTGCTTTGTTTTTTATAGTCTCTTTACTGTCAATACATTTAAAATATACCACAAAGTTTTTACATTGTCAGATGTAGGCAGGCATCCTGGTTTATTATAGAAAGTCTTCACATAGTTCATTTCCAAGCCACTTCATATTCTCCCCTTACCTTTTGCATCCAAGCTGGAATACTACTGTATTTTCAAAAGGCTCAACTGAACAGGCTGAAATGGCAACAGATTTCTTAATCTGCTTCTAAATAATGATATTTTCTTCTTATCCTTGCTGTTTTGCAGCTGTACAGCTGTATAGCCTGAGCTGCTACCAAGAGCTGCAACAAGTTCTATAGTTTTAGGTGATACATGCTCAAATATTAAGCCCAGAGAATTCAGAGCCCAGAGAGAGATGGAGAGGATGAGCAAGCATCTTTGGATGTATTATAATACAAAACTCCGAAATTATCTGTAATTGACTCTGCGGTGATACATGTTGGAACATTTCTTCTATAAAAATTGTTTTTTTATTTAGTTTCGAAGAAGATCCACAGAAGGCACCTCCTACGTGCTGTTTGCATTAGCTATGATGGGAAATGGTACCTATGGGCTGAGCCTTGTTTTGAAGATGCCCGCTGCCGAATCCTTCCGGGCCCTCTACTTCTTACACCGTCTTCCATGGCTCATTGGGAGCTTTGGAGTTTTGTTTCTAGACATTTTTGTATCTTTTTCATGTTGATAACACTATTTCTTCAGGATTGCTCTGTTAATATGATCAGAAATTAAGTAGATTTCTTAAGTTAGAGGTTCTGTATGATCCTAACCTGATTATATAGCTTAATTTCTTTCTAAAGAGATAATTTATATGCTTTTTATGTAATGTTTCATGATACAAACAGCAAGTTTATAGAAAGTATCTACAAGTTAATTTATATTTTGTAGCCATACAGGGTGTACTGAAAGTTGGGACAGAAGAGGTTTAACATGCTTTTCATATTTGCTGTCTGATAAATAGAAAAAAAGAATGCTGGTTGTTTTCAAATGCAAGTTTAGAGCAATAACTTTGAGAATTTGGCTAAACTGTAAATGTTACTGGAAGACAGCATTAAGGTTAGAGACAAACAATGGTGTTTTAACAAACATATTTTCAAAACCCAGCATTTAGCAAACAAGTGTGGCAGCTACCCTTAGCTGTGCAACTGGAGGCAAAATCAGACGCTGAGTGTTTCTGAAAACCAGCAGCTGGGCTCACTGAATCATGTGTGAGTTATATAGGTTAGTATGCAAGTTTCTCGTGTATGCTAGTCCTGACTTAAAAATTACAGTGTTTTAAGTCTGAATTCTTATATCCAACATACATATGTGCACATTTAATTTTTGTATTCCACGTGCACAGTATGCCTCCAGTATACTAGTTATTGTTATTGATGCTCTTTCTAAAATGGGTGTTAACATTCATTATTCTGTTTATCTGTAAAACAAGAAGTCCATGCAGGAGGTCTCAAAAACTGTGTTACACTTTTTATGTGGCACACCAGACACTGAATTTTCCTGAATTGCCACAAAATAGAACTTTGTGTGTTTTGGCAAACTTGTGGTGCCCTACTGAAAGACTCTATGGAATATTGGATTATACTCCAGCAGCTTTATAATAGTTTCATAGAGAATTCCCAGCCATCTTCCCCTCTGACTGGTCTTTAACGGAACTCTGTACTTGAGTCTTCTCACTTGTATTTTCACTTAATATAGTATTAACAGGAGAATTCCTTATCTTCCCTGAAGTAAGAATTGCAGTTCTGTGTCTCAAAACTTCTTTCTATTTAGTTCCAATAATTCAAAGAAGGAAGCTGGATAGAATAAAGAAGGATTTCAGGACTGAAGCGAATTGTGTCAATCCATATTAAAAGGAAGTTAATTTCCAGATTTACCTGGAACAATTCAGGAAGTCATGATCCCCAGGTATCAGTCTTGTCTTTCCGATTAAAGTAATTTCATACGCTGTTCCGGCTAGACCAACGCTGGGAGAGCTTTCCCTGGCCTTTGGACGGCCTGCTAAATTACCCTGTCATTCCGAATAGCCATCTGTGCTTTTTGCATCTCCAGCCATGGCAATTTAAGCTGGCATGCACTTCAGTAAAACATTCCGAATTGTGGGAACACGGTTCTTCACTGCAGTGGTGAGACTGAGCTGCGGTTAGTGGCCCTTTTTTGAAATAAATTGCAGTTTTATCTTTATGAGACAGTGCAGTTGCTTTCGCATGAACAGGCTGTAGTGATTCCTGGTGGCTGGGCCATGCGGCTGCTTTGGGTTCTCGGGTCTTTTGCTCCATAAACAAAGTGGTGACTCTCTTCTTCCTTCCCTCCATTCCATCCCACCGCTCCAAACTGGAAACATAAAACTGCCAGTATTTATTTACAAAAAAAAAAAAAAAAAACCCTAGAATTTGATCTTGATGACCTTTACAGTATATTATGTGCATGTTTGCAGATGCTTTTCTATGATGTACTCCAAAAGGGAACTTTTACATTGGCCACAAACCTCCTCCTCTCTGCGAGCCTTGCCCTGCAGTCGCAGTGCCAGGATGCACATGACATTCATTTCTCGGGTCTGGCTTGATTGGAGTCTGAATCCAATCTTGCTAATAGTCCTCCAGTTCGAATTATATTGCAAACAGATGCTTCCAAATCAGGTTGAGGAGATTATGGAAATCTGGTCAAGTATATAGTGCTAGCTGAAAATGTATGGAGTATTTGTAATCAAGAGAAAACAAAAGCAGACCTCCTGCTTTGAGAAGCCCCCAAGATATGGAAGTAAATGTTTTCCAAAGAGAGCTTCATTTCTGTCTCTTGCCAAGCAAGAAAATCAAAATTCTAACAAACTGATATGTCGTGTTAGACCAGGGAACGGGGTTGTCTGCGTTTTGGAACCAGAGAAATTAAACCCAAAGCTCCTCTTTTCTAAAGAGAAATGTTTTATAATTGATCATCTGTATAACAATCAGTTTATTCCTTGAAAAGGACTTCAAGAAATCCAATCTAATCTAAAGTGGACTTTATTCCTGGTAATCTCCAGAGTTGCATAAGGGGGAAAATAAATTCTCGTTTCTCAAGGTCCGAGCCAGGATTAGGAATTCCTGTACTCAGTGTCGTTCCCTTTCCTCTATCTGACATGGCTGGCACTAACTGTCTTTAGAAACAAGCGGGTCTCTATCCTAGTTGGAACAGGAGTTCCAGTGGTTCTTGGTGCACGGTTGCACTGGGGCCGTTTCAGTTTGGTTTAACAAGGTAACATGGTTAGTTATCCTGTTGCCTTGGTGTCTACAGTTAAGGTTATTGCCTGCACACAAGGGCAGTTAGTCTCCATAAGTGACAGAAGTGTCCAGTTGTTTTTAAAGTATGAATGATGCCTTCTTCCCTTCTTCATAGTAAGAGGAGTTACATAACAGTACATCTAAATTATAAATGGAGCATGATTTTCAGTTTTAGTAATCACTTCTTTCCAACGCCTGCTGTGCATTTGAAGGTGGTTGGTGTTTCTCAGGAGATGCCTAAGCCTGAGGCTTAACTGGGCCTGATAGTGGCCTTATTGGTGATCGACTAAGTACAGGTTTGATTATTTTAGGATTCCAGGGTGGACATTACTAAATTTTTATTTGATGTGCATGATTAGTTAATGCTGACTTATACCTGAAGGTGCTTTACTACATATTTTAAAATATTAAATCAGTTGATAACAAGTTCTACCCTGAAACTTTTAGTTCCAGCCAACATTAAGTTTTCCACAGAATGAATTTTGTGGAAGTGTTTTTCCAGGAAACTTTGTCTGTAAGTCCAATACTTTCTTTCACCCTGCTACCTTCCCTCCCTGTCCCCACCAAAACCAAACAACTCTATATATTTAATTCAGACAAAGCCCTTTACCAAGATTTTTCCCTTTCTTTTTTTTTTTCTTTTTTTTTTACTTGACATCACCCTGTTGTCAGGGGACTCTGTTCAAATCCTCTACATGTACTTCTTTTCATTAAGTGTAGCCAGGCAGCTAGTAGATACACAACGTAAAGCAAATACCAGGCTGCTGTACACAGGCTCTTATCTTGCACCTTTTGTGGTTTGCAGGGCAACCTCTTGGAATCCATTATATATTTTTACAAAATATCATGCTTTTTAATTTAATTACACTGCAAGGAATCTTAAGTCTGACCTGACAATTCAGCAAGGAGCTTTTCCAACCAAAGATGCAACAACTCCTGCCCTGTCCTCCCATAAATAGCTGCCTTTGCCTCAAAATCATTCAATTTTTTGAATTGCTGTTAGATTGCTTGTAGATTTAACTGAGCAAGTCCAATACACTAGTTCAGTGACTGTCGAACTTGGCTCACATGGTGTTGCCCGTCTGGTGTCAGACTGTGAGCTGGGGCACCAGGTGACCCCTCGGACTGTCCCGGGACCCTGTACCATTCCAGCAGGCTGATCCGTCACCGTGTCCCCTTCCACCAAAGCACCTGCTAAGGCTCCTGCAGGTACAAGGAAGACTGTCCTGCCTGTTTCTTGCCCCAAGTAGTGGTAGCTGTGTATACTCTGAACTCATTTGCTAAGCCTGAGCAAGAGGAGTTCCCCACATTATGCTACAGAAATACTTAAAAAACTGCTGACCTGCTGTCTCTGAAGGAAATCCTGTCTAGTCTCCAGTTGGAAGGGGCCTCAGGGGTGGAGATGCTGGATAGCCTTGGAAAGGTGGGATAATTCCTGGGACTCTGCCTAGGATGTAGAGAATTTCCTTTCTATTCATCTAGGCCTCCCAGAAAGCTTCCCCTGCTTTGTTTTTATAAATAATGATGTGCGTTAGCCCCAGCCTCCTCACCACCATTGCACAGACCCGAGTTATTTTAGCTGGCCTCAAGTGTTCCCGGTAGAATCCTGCATGCCAGACTTCCTCCCAGAGCAGCTCTATTTTATTTTTAAAATCGGATTTTTAATGTAATAGCAGTGGTGATCCAGGGGCGATCCCATCTACTGTGTTTCCAATCTAATTTCTGTATCAAAGTTTTAGTCTCTATTGGAATACCAAGTGTTTTGTCAAGTTCGGTGCTCAGCTTCAGTACAAAACTCCTCACCTGCCGAGCAGGAATTCTGCAGTGAGTCATGTTCTTATCCATGCTCCCCTTTTTTGAAGAAGGCTCTCTTTCTCTAAGTCAGTAGAGTGCTGGAACCATCAAGAAAAAGGACAAGACTTGTTAGTTCTTTATTCTGATATTAGCAGTATTTCCAGCACTCTGCTCTACAGCAGAAATAAGTTGTGATGTCTAACTCCACAATTTTTAGCATTAATTACTGAGTCACAATCTGCCTGTGGGTATTTATAATTACCCAGAATTTGGGAGGACTGGGGCTGGGCTGGCACAGGGTAACAGCTTGGGGTCCCACAGGGTTCCTAGGTGCCTTGTTCCTGCTGTGCTCCTAACAAATTTCCAGCTTAGGACCCTCACAAGCTCTGCAGTGCAATCTCTAAGGGCCAGAGTATTTCTATGTGTATTTAAGTCATGTAACCAAGGGGATCTGAAGTTTCAGTTAGAATTTTGCTCTGTTTGGTGCTATAAGTTAAACCTTTTTTGCCAGAAAAAAAATGCGGAAAATTGAGTGTTGAGTAGAATTTGGAAAAGGTTACATACTAAAAGTTACATACTTAACCCTCACGGTTAGGACTAAAGCAATAGTTAGAACATGAATTAGATAAACAGAACATGAATTAGAACAGAATGAACATGAATTAGATAAAACAATTTATAAACCTTCCTCCTTAGAACATAGCATCCATAGTCTGTGCCAGAATGATAGACTGAACGGATGATCGTTTTTATTGTGTGCAGCTTATTTAGTTCTCAATTGTAAGCAAATACTGCAAATGCTGCTTGTGCCTCCTATTTAATTATTTCCTTACCCAAAGTAACAGGTGACTCTGCAATTCCTTACGTATCGCCAGCAGCGCGAGGGCCGCGGCAGTCCCGGGGCCCTGGAAGCGGAGCCGTTACTCCTGGCTGAAGAGAGCGCCTAGCGTCTCGCTGCGTTTGCCCCCTGCTCTCACTACACTTTATTTCTGGATTACTTCAACAAACAGCTAAGTTTGCTCTTGCTTACAGGCCAAATTTATTCCTTCCGTTACTTGTTTTGTCATTACTTGTTTGTAGTTGATACGAAGATGATAGATTTCATATTTACTGTACTCTATCAGAATGATAGTCTTTGGGGTTTTTTTCCTGTTTTCCCCATTTTAGCTCTTTTTCTCTGTTCTGTGTTATGGAACCACAGCAAATGAGTGGTCTTGGATGTATTTGATGTCTTGATACATTGTATATCGTGGAATGATTACTTTTAAATGAACATGTTAACAGTAATGTGGAGTTTTAAAAACAGCGGATGCAATTAGCCATGTGCCTTGAACCCAAACTGTAGTTAACTACTGCTCAATCCATTAGCAGCGAATGTAAGTTCAGGGCACTTTTATTCTCATTGTTTTGTATGAATCAGAAGGAAAAACAAGCTTTAATTAAATCACTTAAGTTCAAAGGATCAGTCATCAGCATGAAAGCATAATCCCAACCTAAGTTAGCAGGAGCAGCATGTATAGGCCACTGCAGACTATCACCATATGCATTTTATTTTTAAGAGTTAATTAAAGCATTTATACATCAATGCTTGTGTATTACTGTGCATCATCATATACTGTATATAAAATTTATGTGCTACATTCATTTCCTTACAAGCTTCTGGTTTATGTAAGTTCCACAGGGAAAACATTAGAAGCTAGAGACTGTACCTTGCAATTGCCTATTGACTCTTCAAGTTTTTTTCCAATACTCTGTTTTACCTGAAGAAAATTTCAATAAAATTTATCTCAGAGTGTAATGATTAACTTGTTCTTCAATAGATCCGTTTGTGAACAAAATTGTTGCTTTTTCAAAAGGGTAAGTATGAGTGTTTTATCCATTTCAGGGCTGATCACGAAACTCATTCTCTGTGTGTGATTTCAGATAACTTTGTTAAGTGACCTGATTAAAAAAGAATTGGAATTGCTGAGTTCTTGGGTGAAGCTCATATCAACTAAACTTGTTAGTTTTTTGTTAAGACCTAAATTACTGCCAGAAATGCATACGAAGAAAAAAAAAAATTTACTCTGGCTTTCTATGGAAATTTAAATACTACTGATACAAAACACTATGAAATTAGGGTTTCTTGGTGAAATAATGTCACCCTGATAGTAGATATGAAAACCTAAACTAATTCCAATTCCCACTGAAGCAGTAAATTAGATAAATAACCAAATTCAGTGATCTTCCTGGCAGTGATTTTGCTCGCATGCAGCAGTGACTGGGGTATTTAACAGTGATTCATCAGTACCGAGCATGGTACAGGGTGCCGAGCGCTGCGCTCGTCCCAGCACGGCCCTGTTCTGACCACGTGCAGTCCTGCAGAAATGCAGTGCTTGTCTGCAGGCAGCCAGGTGAAAATGCTGCTTGGAGATGCACGGTCCGTGCTCCTGCTTCGGACTGTGCTGCCGTGAGTTCAGTAAAAAGGATTTTCTCAATCGTGTTGCCAAAAGCCAAGTGCTTTTGAAGCATTTTGCAGTTCTGCAAGATGTGTCCTCACAAAGGTTTTATGTAAGATCTTCCCAACTGAAGTCAGTTACTTTATTAGTCTCAGTGTTTACTTAGAATGAACATGTATTTTCTGATTTTTTAAATAGAGGGTTTTAAAAGTTAACCTTTTAGTATATAAATTAAAATGCTATTTGTCTCACTTGCAGATTTATACTCTGTACACACACGATTATCAAACTTGCCTGGCTAGTGACTGAAAGCCTGACTTGTTACTTTTTAATGCAGTTACAATTTATTATTATGCCATTTCTTCAAAGATTATTTCCCCTTTTATTGCTATATGTAATCCTATTCTGCATTGTCTTTTAATCCCAGTTTTATATTACTATATCTTATTAAAACAGCTAAATACAGAGTATGTAAAGTTACTGTGGTTTAATTTAAGAATTTTAAGGGAAAATAATGTGTTCCGCATTTAGTGTAGAGGTTAAATGAATACTTAAAATTTACTTCCAAGTAACCATTTGATTAAAAGAACTGCCTAAATACATACAATTATCAATGCTGTTTCTATTGTGTATTAAGAACTAAGGATTCTTTGTCATCACTTTTCTCAGCACATAATTATTTTCTCACAGCCAGACTGTGCCATGCCAAAAGAAATAGTTAGCACTTTGCCAGAATATACCAAGTTAGAGACTAAAGGACAGATCCTGATTACCTCTTTGTTAGCTTAAGACAGGGAAATAAGGCATGTAGCTATTTTGTTGAAAAGCAAAGTGTCTTAATCTTCCTGCTTTATGTTCCTAATTCTTCCCCCCATGCTGCATGTAATCCAAGATTAGCAGCATTGTTTTCTAATTTTTTTAACTGTCTTGAAAATCTCAGTAACTAAAGGAAATATTTAAAATGTCTTCAGGGCTCTCCTCATATTTAAACAAATTGACCAAAAGACTTAACCTAAGTCCAGAGAAACTTCCAGAGTTCAAAGGAAATTATTACAAGAGTGGAGTTATTCGTTGTCATTACATTTTGGTTTTGATCACTTGTTTCTGTATGAAAAGATAAGTACTTAATTAACCACTTCTGACTAACTCTTGAAATTGCAGGTTTGGCTGCCTTTTTCTAAATTCATATTTTTATCCTGTCTTTGACAAACCATGTGTAACTAGCCTCAAGGAAACAAGTTGAGTTTAGGAGCAAAAATTGCAGTTGCTTGGCTGCTACATGATCTCGTTACCTCCTTTTCCTAATAACCAGCTTTTAAGTTCTGTTGCATCTTCCAGAAGCAGCAGGGTTGTCCCACAGGGTTCCTCGTTCTGTGCCATCCCGAGGGGTTTTGCCTGCGGCTGCGCCCAACATATGGGAAAGTGCAACATAAAACCCAGCGTCATCTCCACGTGTGAGAGGCAGAAGCAGTAGCAGAAGCAGCTATGACTAAAACTGTGCAAGGTCCCTACTTTATCTGTAGGAAGAATCAGAAATGAGACTGTCTGATGTTGGGCAACAGCTTTGCGGTGTTAATTACTCCATGAAGGTTTGCTTGCTTTTCTGTTTTGTTTTTAAAGCACATTTCTCACTGACAGCTCAGAAGGTAGATCCAGGTCCTGATAGACAAACAAGCACCAGCTCTTGGTGCTTTGGGAGGGTGACAGTTCTATTGTTTCACCAAATGGCCTTTCTGCCCTGCTTACAGTCAGAGTTTTGGCCAGACCTTAGGACACTGATATTTTATATAAGTGATGTTGCAACGTTAACAGCAGCATTTATAATAGCAAATGGAGAAATCGTTTTCTAAAATAATATCTCATTTGAATATATTCTTTTTCCCTTGATAACAAAATCCAAGTATTTGTTGAATGGAAATGACTCTTTTCCTCAGAAGGAGGAAAATATTCTGTGGGTTTTGTTTCCTGTAAAGCCTTTGTGTCGCTTCAGTATATATTTTGTTCTTTGTTATAGGACTTAAAAAAAAAACTTTAATTTTCTACTTTCTGTTATTGTAATTCTATATATACTTCAACAGGAGATTTAATGAAGTCTCCATCAACTGAGATGCTATCAAATAAATTATTACCACATTAACATGCCATCACCAGCTACTTATTAGTAAATTCTGGAGCAGAGCAAGAACAGCCTTCCTCACCACAGACTTTTAACTGCCTTCTGTCTCCTTCCCTTCTCAGCGAGTCGCCTCCTCGCAGGGGAACCTGCAGTGCCTCCCAACCTGGTTTTTGGTGCCCAGGACTCAGACGGGCCCCAGCAGAGCTGCGCTGCCTCGTGCAGATGTGGATCCAGCTGTGGCCGTCTTGTTGGTGATGGCCATCAGAGACCCGAGAGTTGGTGAATGTTTCGACACCTCTGTCCTGTGGCTAAAAGAAGAAAAGATTTGAGAAATCTTTACGGTAAAATCTGTTTTTTTTTTTCCTCTGTGCTTAGGATTTTGATATTTGCAAATGACTGCTTATTAGTAGTCAGGTGAAAGATGACAAACTTGACTTAATAGTCAAGGAGGAAGGACCATGCAAAATGCTGGGGCCCAAAGGTGCACTGAGTTGTCACGAACTCTTGCTGGGATGTGATGTGGCCGGTCCGACAGCCTCTGTGTGCTCAGCACCTGCTTCCCATCATCGCTGCTCCTTCAGCCCACACAGCACCCCAAAGCCAATGAAATAGCCATCCTCCAAGCAGTATAAATATTTTCCCTGGTTTCCTAGTGGCAGGGAGCTGGGAAATTACTGTTCCCCACATGAAGGAGGGCACGTAGGTGGTTAAGGAGCGTGGTGAGGGCCTGTGAGCTCCCTGCGGGGAGCTCTGCCACCACAATCCCGCCCTTGGAAATGCCTGCGGGATCCGCTGAAGAGCTGCCTGCGTGGGCAGGAATCACCTGCCCGGGAAGGAGCAGTGATGAAACCCTGGCCTGCTCCTGCCCTGCCCATGCTACGTGCCCCAGATAGGAATGCAGAGGTTTCCTTCCAACAACAGCTCGTGCTGACGGACCGTGTCCCTCCCGCAGCACAGCGTGCCTGAGAAGTGGAGGGTTCCTGAGCGGATGAACTTCCGAGCAGGATCTGCGGTTTCTGGCCGAGTCGGTAATCGATATATTTAGATGAGCCAAGACCTGCATTACTTCTGGCTCTGCAGCTTCTCCGTCCTTCACTCCGCTTGGGAAAGGCGAGCAGCTTTTGTGGGAGCCTTCCCGCGGCGTGGTGGCCAGGGAGCCCGCACGCTGCCCCGGCGGGAAGCGCGCACCCCTCGGCATCGGCAGCCGGAATTAGAGGAATTACGGGAAGCGGCGCCTCCCAACAATAGCCCGTGAGCCGGGCCGCGCTGTAATTGGGAAGTGTGGGGCAGACTGCTCCGTAATGATTTCATGGATCAAGTTGTCAGGTTATCCGTTAATTTTCCTGGACCACAAAATATTGACAAACGTGTACAGTAAACTTGTGCTCCCTGC